TTCTGGATCAACTTATTTATTTGACCGGATCCCCTTACATATTCCGAAGTTCAGAGCTCTGGCTGAGACTTCCGAGACACATCAAGCCCTATAAGGCCGAGACGCTTTGACAAAGCCTCCTACAAAGACCTTTAGAGGCCTAATTATTAACTATCATGTATTTGTAGACACAGAAGCTTAAATCTTCAAGAGATGTCTGGCTTAAATGAAGGAAGAAATGAGGCCTTGCCATGGGATAAAAATGAAACCACAATCTTCAAAGGTAGTGTTTCAATCTGTTAAAATGACAATTCCTCACTCAAATCAGAGAAGGGAAACTGAAAAGCTAAAAACAAATGGAAACAGGTACACACACACACACACACACACACACACACACACGTGCACACAGTGCTATAGAGAAGCAAGACATTTACATCCATCAGAAATGTACAATTCTGCCTTGAAGCAAAATTCTTAATCAGGTTATAAATCGCTTTCCTATTACTATGCACACAGTCACTTCATCAAGTGCTGAATCCTAAGTAACAAAAATATAATTCACGCACTCAGATTTTAAAAATTCTTTCTTCAGAGGGAAAATAAATATACAACTGAGGCCTGCATCTCTGGGTTTGTAGTTTTTTAAAAATAAAAGATATGTATCACATCATAGGCTAAAAAAATTGTCTGTACTCTTAACAAATGTGGAAAATATGAAAATATATTCCTTAGCAACCTCATCATCCCCTGCTAGTGAATCCTCTCTAAACCGTGTGGCTCTCTACTTTATGGATAACCAAATAAAATCACTCATTAAACATATATAACCATGAGGGGTAAAGACACGTGAACCCGGATGTGTTTAACAATCCCTAGATACCAGAATGAGGGGAACACATTCTAGAATGAGGGGAACTCTCTGGATACTAGACAGATAAGAATTACGTGTCATAAATACAGGGTCACATTTATAGATCTCAGCAACCCCAAGAGACGAAAGACAAAAGCATGATGACAATGATAACGGTTAACACTGATTATGCACTTCTTCTGTGCTGAGAACTTAACATTATTTCACCCAGTCTTTACAACTACCTTCTGGTAGTTACTAAAATCATTTCCATTTTGGAGATGTGGAAATCAAGGCTCAGAGTGAGCGTTAAGTTGCAACTTGTGTAGATTCCCGATGGCTTTTTAATGGATCTCCCTTAGTGCCTCTGACACTTACAGATTCCCTGACCATTGAAAATGTACCACTAGTGTAACAGAAATTATCAAATTCTGGCAAATACCATGAATAGGGAGTCACACAATTGCCAATGATGCAACAGGGCATAAAAGGTACAGAATGGTGATCTAGGAGTCACTGGATTAAGAGTTAAAATCTGCTACATCTCCATACCTTACACACTGCTATAACTAGCACTGAATCAGGTGTTCCAGAAATGGCAGACGTTGTGCTGTTTCTCCTACAACTATTACGTGTGTTTCTCTGCCCAAGTTTCTCAACTATATAAAATAAAGCAGCTGAACTTACACCACATGAAGGTTGTAAAGATTAAATGTAACCTTGTACAGAACCTGGTACCAAGGAAAAGTTTATTTTCCCCTAATCAGTCTGGTGCAGACAGGAAGTAAATACTGCAATAATTCAGAGGGAAAATATCACCATCAGACAAATAAGGAAAAGTTTCAAAGACATCATGGGATTTGCATTTAGCTTCAAATAGACTTTGGAATTCGTACTGGTAAGGCAGGTTTCTGCTGAAGGGTAAGTGTGGGAATGGCTCACGGAGGCCTTTTGAGAGAGAGACCGTGGAACTACCAGGCAGCTCTTCTATAAGAACATTCTTCCACACAACCCTGGGTAAGTGGGTCCACAATAAGATTTCTTCTTCCTTTAAGCCATAATTATTATATGTTTGTTCCCTATTACTTCCTTGCATTTCAGAAGTATAAAAATTTCCAACTATTATCGTTCCCTAGTGCTACCCTCAGTGCCTCCACCAGGACAGTAATTGGCAAAGAGGGCCTGCTAAACATGTTTACAGAAGACACTGGTAAGATCAAGTCCAAAGGTTCCTAATTTCCTGTATGCCATATTATCAGCTATCTTCTTACTCTTTATTTCCCTCCACAGCAGCGAGTGGATGGCTTAATTATTATTAGTTATTCTTGACTGCACTAGTTATTTCTGAGATTACAGTAATTCACATAAATTCAGTCAGGCAGTAGCTCAATTTATAAGAGTAGCTGGATCCACCATCATCTGGATAAAATGAACAATCAACAGGCAAATGGGCAGAAACGACCAGCACCCTACCAGCCTAATAAGTTACTGTTTAACATAGGGGTGAAAATGGAAAAAAACTGCAGTTCTGCAACCTGCAGAAATATAAAATTCACATTATTTCTAAGAATTAAACCTATTCTAGAATTTCAATCATTAGTCAATAATAAAAGACAAAGCCGTATCATTTAAAAATCAGGCCAGACATTGTATATATTCCAAGTTCCTAAAAAGTTAGAAATCGGCACAACTCATAGTATCAAACTACTTTTGCTGCCTGTTATAAAATCAGTTAGGAGTTCCTACAGGAAGGATCTGGGCCCAAACATAAAGCCCACCACATAATGTAGCATTGTCTTCTAATGTTTATTTCAAGAAAATACAATATTTAATTCACCTCTGGGTCTCAACCTCATACCCCTTTACTCCCTGTAAAAGTATTGTCAGCTAGAGCTACTATGCATTGGAATAAGACGTACTTTTTTAGAAGTTACAGCGCCAGTGGAGGTAGCCACCATCTGGGCTGCTCTTTGGCATGGTGTCCTTGTTTAGAAGACCAGTGTGAAATCTCAAAGGGCTTCCCCTCCAACTAAGATTGAGTTCTAAAGTCTGAAGCTAGAAATCTGGAAAAGGGTGGGGACATTTTCTAAATCCATTAAAGCAAATTTACATCAAGCAGGCTGAATTTGTTAATTTATAAGTGGTATACATCACTTTCTGGGTAGTATAGATTGGAAATTTGTCCCTGTGCAAATATCATGCTGAAATGCAATCCCCAATGTTGAAATGCAAATCCCTAATGTTAGAGGTAAAGCCTCTAACAGGTGTTTGGATCATGAGTGCAGATCCTTCATGAATGGCTTCAGCCATCCCCTTGGTGATAAGTGAGCTCTCATTCTGAGTTCACATGAGATCTGGTTGTATAAAAGTGCCTGGCACACTTCCCTGCCCCACTTCCGCCATGTGAGACATCTGCTCCTCCTTTGCCTACCATGAATGTAAGCTTTCTGAAGGCTCCCCAAAAGCAGATACCAGCACTATGCTTCCTGTACAGTGTGCAGAACTGTAAGCCAATTAAACCTCTTTTTTTTTTTTTTGAGAGGGAGTCTCGCTCTGTCGCCCAGGCTGGAGTGCAATGTTGCAATCTCGGCTCACTGCAAGCTCTGCCTCCCCGGTTCAAGTGATTCTCCTGCCTCAGCCTCCTGAGTAGCTGGGATTACACGCAAGCACCACCGCGCCCAGCTAATTTTTGTATTTTTAGTAGAGATGGGGTTTCACCATGTTGCCCAGGTTGGTCTTGAACTCCTGACCTCAGGTGATCCACCCCGGGGCCTCAGCCTCCCAAAGTACTGGGATTATAGGCGTGAGCCACCATGCCTGGCCCAAGTCTCTTTTCTTTATATATTACCCAATCTCAGGTTCTTTATAGTAACGCAAGATTGGCTTAATATGCTAAGTATTAAAACTGGGAGAATTTTGAACTCCACTCTACTCAGAGAACAAATGTGAAAATAAGATAGTTATGAATCATTTCTTATAAACCAAAGTTAAACTCTTTTTTCCTTATAGTTGATGCACAAGACGGTCCACAAAACAGTCTAACACCCATGAAGAACCACTCAATGAGCTCTCTGTGGGGCTGTAACAGTAATCCTCTATCTGCATGCAACAACTAGTATCTAGACATCATTTATCGATGACCTGTGACTGGCTTCAGCACAGAAAGGTTGGTTACCAAGTAAGACCCTGTGAGTAGAAAATCTGCTGTGGGCATGTTTAAGTTTTTATGCTCTTCTTCTGTCAAATTAGCTGTAATAACTTGCCAATAACACATTAAAACTTCTTTAAGGATCTGTCATTTAGTTTAGCAGATGTCTTTAAAATGCACTATATTTCTATAGCAATTTAAATTATTACCTTGACATTACCTTACTTCCATGAATAAAGTAAAGGGGTGCACTTTATTTAAAAACAACTACTGGCTGGGCGCGGTGGTTCACGCCTGTAATCCCAGCACTTTGGGAGGCCGAGGTGGGTGAATCACTTGAAGTCGATAGTTTGAAACCAGCCTGACCAACATAGGGAAACCCCGTCTCTATTAAAAATACAAAATTAGCCAGGCATGGTGGCACATGCCTGTAATCCCAGTTACCTGGGAGGCTGAGGCAGGAGAATCACTTGAACCCAGGAGGCAGAGGCTGCAGTGAGCCCAGACTGTGCCACTGCACCCCAGCCTGGGCAACAAGAGCAAAACTCCATCTCAAAAAAACAAAAACAAAAACTACTTGCCACAAAAATTGCTTGCTAGTGACCTGCTTTCCAAAAATATAACTATTAAAAGTCCAGGAATATGAGCTTGGGTGAAGGGAACCTGTTCAGTTTTTACTAAGACTAAACTTAAACTAGAGACCTTCATTTAACATGGATTTTTATACTGCTTCAGGTCTCAATAGAGAACATTACAATCCCCAAAGACTAAATCACTTGTCTCTTTTAAGAGTTATTGGAGCAGCATTATGCTGAAAGTGACAGTCTGGCTCTGTTCAGTTGTTAATGCAGCACAGATTTGCTGTCCAACTGCAACTGGCTGTAAGTCCTTATCGCAAATAAAACTATTTTTGTGCCATTTCTATTTTTCACTTAAACATCACCAGCTCCTCAAGACTCAGGACCTGTCAAGTGTTCTGTTGCCAAGACTATGCCTGTCAGAAAGGTCAGCATCCGGTACCTTCCAGTTGGGTCCCAAAGGGCCTCTCTTGGTCTTGACTGACTGGAATAATGCTGGGTCTTCATCAGCTTTGTAGTCCTGCAAAGCAAAACAAAGTCAGAGGCAGAGAAGAAAACCAGAGAATATTCTTTAACCTTGCCAGAACAGCTCTTTGCAGCTACCGAAACACAAGACAGAAATCAATCAGACTCACTGTGCTTTTGTGTAAAAGTAGAAAAATGCTCAGGACCTGTCCATTGTTTTCAGTTTGGTTTCCTTTGCACTAAACTTTTACCTTGGGCTAAATAACTACATAATAAGAAATAATAAAAGTCTTGGACTAGTAATCCACTCTGGTTACTGGACAGCTATCTCCAAGAACAAACCTTCCAACAGTTTTTTAATAATTTAAGTATTTTGATAAATGGATAATCACATTCAAAGAATAAAACATACCCATCCCAGTTTTGACACTACAGGGAGATGATGACACTGGACTGTTAATGCTGGCCAGAGCAACTACTGTGGCTGGGAACAAAATCAGAACTATGGATTCTGCAGCATCCCCCAACCTCTTCCTACAGTTGGGTCTGCGGTGGACATCTCAATTTCGTGACTGGCTTCTCTAAACCCTTGTTCAGAGAGCCCTGGGGTACACACGGCTTGGCTTCCTCACAAAAGGAGTGCACTCATGTCAGCCCCCCACTGTCAAAGGAGGCAAGGGAGGGGTGTCACGGGACTGCCTCAGTTATATACCACAGGGGAACGACTCTAAAATAAAGGTTTTATTCAGGGTTCTAGTGTGTGTAAATTGTTTCTCTTAGTATATCCTTTTCCTGACAGAATGGAGGAAATGAAAAAAGAAAATCTTTTAAAATCTACCTGCTTTACGAAAGTTCTCTTGTCGTTATACATACACACACACACATACTCTCTCTCTCTCTCTCCAGAAAAAAAGATAAAATTACTTTTGAAGAGCTAGAGCCCAGATTAATAACAATAATAAGAGAGACTTACAACAGTAACTTGACCATGGTCAGTTGGTCAGTTTAAAACATTGCAAAGAAAGAGAGGTGGGGAGAGTCCCTTGCTTCTTGAGCAGACTTTCTGACTCTGGGGTCCTTTACGGAATTTGTGAAGAGACCTCATACTTAGTGAAAAATGTTCAGATATGTCAGATATGAAACCTTAACTAAAATCACTGTTCTAGAGATAAGGGCAGTACAAGCAAAAGCAAGAACTGAACATGCTCTACAGTATAATATGAACTTTCCGCAAATCAAAAACAAACAAACAAACAAACAAACAAACAAACACGTTGAGAAGCAGCCACTCAAAACTTAACAGTTACTCAGTAAGTGCATATGCCATGTTAATAATTCCTAAAGAGAAAGTTACAAACAAATTATGTGAGGAAAGAAAAATGTTCAGTTCAAAGAGAAAACAAAACTTTAAAGAAAGATAACTGTGTAAATATGTGACCCAGAACTTGAAGCCTCTCTAAAGGTTGTCTACAAAAACGACCAACAATAAGCTAAAATTATTAAACAAGCAAATAGGTCTCACTATACTGAGACTTAATGCTTTAAAACATGCAATGTGGCACAGCCACAGGCATCAACATTACCCAGGAATGACAAACTGGGATGGACAGTCTGCAAGGAGCTGGACAACTGGACTTACTTCCTATGTCTGGGCAGAGCAGCAGAAAGGTCAGTTACTGTCAGCAAGTATGAGTTCTTAAACTTCAATTTTTAACTTCATCCTAAACATGAGTAACTCCACTTCTGATTGACAAAAGAATCAACTGTGTGTACAGGTGGTTTCAAGACCTGGATTTACAATGAGAAATAAGCTACTCTATTAACATAAATGAAGCTGCAACACCATAAAACATTTTCTTCTAGGTCAGAGGCTTGGAATTAAAACCTAAAAGCAAGCTCATTTTTTTTCAAAACTTGAAAGTATTTAACATTGTATCAAATAATCACTTTCAGCATCATTTCCCTCAATCAAAATCTAGTTATTGAACAGCCATCATAGAGAAGGTAGCACACCAGATGTTATTAATAAGAGGTAATTCAAGGAAACAGATGAAGTAAAGGAGAACCAACACAGTTCTGGCTCCTAAAGAATCAGTCTAGTTAGGATAAAGAAAGAGGCAAACAAAGAACAGGTAACTCAAACACCAGGAAGTACCTGTTAACTGCCAACAGAGAATGGAGACAATTACTGTCAGAATCAAAACCAAACAAAACCAGCAAAGGAAATGCACTTTTAAAATGGATTGTAAAATCATGTTTAAGAGGAGAAAAATCTGAACTATGGATTCACAGAATCATAGAAGTGAAATGAACCGTAAAGACCACCCAAGCTCCATCATTTGAAAGATGCTAAAACCACAGTGTGATAAGGACGTGGTAGGGCTCAACTACCCCAGCACTTCAACTCAAGCCTCCTTAGCCTTGGTCCTGGGCACATTCTGGTACACCACACAGGATGATGGCAAAAGGTGTCAACAAATGCCAGATAATCAAACCACGTTTCAAAAATACCAAGAAGCTGCAGCACTAGAGATATCAAAGTGGATTTTCCTATGAAGCACAACTGCATGTAAAATATCATACACATATACACATGTATATATGAAATGAAGTCTTCCCCTCTCTGCTTTTTCTCCTCTAGAATACAAAGCAGAAAAATATTAAAGACATTATACCAAAAACATAACAAAACCCAATTATTAACAATAGCACTTTAACTTTGAAAGATGAGAATGAATCTTGTCAAAACCTAGAAATTTCTGTTTTACATTAGTTTGAGTATGAAGAATATGTAAATGTTTACTCAGCTGAATTAAGTGGTAAGATATTAAGAAGCAGGAAGTAGCTTTTTAACAACCTCAGTTTTGTATTTCCACAACAAACACCTAATTTTTTGAACAATATCTTCTTTGCTACATTTCCACTGTTGGGTATCTAGTTTGGTCTTGCTATATCTGAAAACTGAACGATTTATGTCCGTATCACAATGAACAAATATATTCCTTCATGTATGACAGTTTCAGCATACAGAATGCAACCTCAGCTACCAATTATAGCTGCAAATGAGCAATAGTGTGGAATGAGACAGCCTGCTGGCTTTGTTAGTATTCTGTCTCCTTTGGGATCCCATGGGGAAAGGGGAGGCTCTGATGAAGAGAAGCCCTTGGCTCATGGTTTATTGTGCTTGCCACCAGCTGCAGACTTCTCATCTCATTAGTTCTTTTAGAATACTGTGGGTGAAGACAGCTGTAGCCTACTTGAGTCTTCAGCTCCTGGGTATTCTGAAGGCTGAATTTGCTATGCACTTTCTGTAATCCTTGGGAAAAAAAGAGAGCAAATTCACCAGGCTAAGGAAATGCATTTTTTAAAATGGGTTTTAAAATCATGTTTAAAAGTAGAAAAATCTTATTGCTAAGGTGCATTGTGTTTAAAATTTTTTATGATTCAATTTTAATTATCTGTATAATGCCCAGAGGCCTGGCCAGGATAAGGGCTTAGTAAAACCATCATTATCAAGTTAGGTGTAATATCCCTAGACACTACTTGCTCCACCAATAATAGTGCCTGAACAACGAAAAAATACAGTGGTATCAGCATAAGGTATATTCGGATTAGTGTTAATACAGCTCTATTTAATTGAAAACTCTTATTTAAGAAAAACAGGCAGGATACCCTTTGGAGAACAAAATAAAATATAACATGGTAAATAAATGGATTACTGAGGCTCCACACTGGAGCCACAGAATACACTCATTAATTTCTTATAAATAACTGTTTTCTGTCACTGGAATACAAAAGTTGTGCTACCTCTTGGGTGTACATCTGTTGCTCACTACAGATCTCAACAGAAACTCTCAATAGAAACCAGATTCATTTCGAATACAAAGAATATTAGTTTCATGAATCTTTGAGCATAGTGGCTGCCCCCAAAAATGAAAGTACAAAATCTGTCTGTGCTGAGCCATACTAAATGTCCCTGAGCCCAGATTTAACTCCTAATTATGAATGGGGAAGTGAGTAGGAGGTGGGGGGCAGGCTGGTAGAGTTTCTTGACAGCTTGTGGAAAAATTGAGATGAGCTCCAGACACCAGAAACTGCTTAAATAACCAAGCATGGGTTACCAGAGGTGAGGCTAAGTGTAAACTAAGGAAAAAGAGTACCCAAACCACAAGCATTAGCAACTCCTTGGCACCTGCTTATAAAAGATCAACCCCTATTTTCCACCCTGTGGAGAGGGGGTGTTTTACTGGGTAAACACAAAAGCTTGAGAGAGAGATTAGGATCCTGTAGGCTGCTATATAAAATGCTTTCCTTTAGCATAAAATGATTAATTAGGTGTCTATTAAAATAGCTCAAAGATAATCATTAAGTTTAAATGCATGGGTATTGCAGCTCAACTTAGCAAGGCTTATTTCCTCTAATCACATCCTAAAAATAAAGCCCAGGATGGAGGATAAAGCTGAATTAAATATGAAGATAAATAACAATCATCATTTATTAGCACTGCCCTGAATTTTCCAGTATTGGGGCACCTAAATGAGCTCCTGGATCCTATCACTGTTGACCCTAATGCCAAACGAGTAACTCGAGCTGACAAAATTCAAGCGAGACTCCAAAGAGTAAGCAAGCCCATTTAAAAAAAAAAGTTTGCATTAAATTTTGCAAAAGCAAATAACAGAGGTATAAAGAGAAACATTTACTAACTTGTTTAAGAAACTGATTTCAACAGTTATTTTCAAATAAGCAGCTTTCTTTTCTATTTTTAATTACATCTCCCTAGTGACTCCTCAACCTTTCAGGTTCCCACAGAGTACCATTAATATAGTATAAGTAAATCTCATTAATTCAGGTCCTACCACCTTGGAATACATAATCATTCGGACAGGGGCTGGGCTGAAGTTTATCTTTGCATGATCTATGAAAAAAAGATTTGCTACACAAATTAATAGAGTAACAAGATCTCAGGAGGGCTGTTTAAACAGTTCAGAAGTGTTTTAGAGCAATTCAGAAGCATTCATTTGCATATAATTATTATGCTAATTACAAATCATTCTT